GTTTCTGTGCACTTCTCCTCCTCTCACTCTTTAAGGACAATTTCCATTTGTGTTTTGAAGCTCATCTTTGATGAATCTAATATTCTGCTTCTGTGTGTTGCAGATTGAAGATGGCAGCTGGCATAAGACACAGTTCTTTTTTCACACTCAGGACACTAATCAGCTTCCAGTTGTTCAAGTTAATGCACTTCCTCACCTCAAACCAGGACAGCAGCACTTCATAGAAAGTGGTTCAGTGTGCTTCCTTTAAGGATTCTGTCCTGGGGGTTTTTTTTGCATCAACATGGAATTGCTGAATAGATTCAGTGCAAAAGTAATGATCCATTGCAGGCAAAATTACTAGGAAACTGAAGAATCACTTTAAACAGTGTTGATTAACGAACCTCAGGAAGAAAAAGACTTCCTCCTAAGGAGAAATGGCATTGAAAAAGAAAAGAAAAGAGAAAAGAGAAGAAAAAAGAAAAGACAAGACAAGACTACAACAATTTTCATACAGGATTTTTAAAAAAAAATTGGTTGGTGCTTTTTTGCATAATTTCCTGGAACTGGGTATCTGAACATGGAATTTTTCAGGACTTTAGTTTTCTTAGCAATCTCTTTAACAGCACTGCAGAAAAACCATCCCGAGGAAAGCTGGCGACATACAATACCAAGGAGCAATACTGGCTAATGCTCCTAAATGTGCAATAGCTTTTATATGAAAAGTGAATTATGCCACAGTACAATACGTCTTCTTTTCCTAAACATTGTTTTATTATAGTCCTCTGTGGACACACACATCTTAACAGATGGCACACTACCTCTTTTGTGTTTCCTGTCCATGTTGCCTTGGTGCTCTTCGTAACACAAGGTGCTTGGGGCCTTATCAGAGATTATTTGAGTCCCTTTTTATCTTTCAGACTGTATGTGCTGGTTACATCAGGATATGTTTCTGTTGTAAAGGTACTTATTTTAAATCGTTGGTCACATACTTCACTACAATGAAAACATTATTTATGTGGATTTCTTGTTTTAAAATATTTTTGTGTACTGTTGTGGAAATGGTATATGAGACAGCACATTGTATATGATGCATATAGTCAGAACAGTTAGCTTTACAGCCATTGTAAAAATTGTTGTAGAAGAGCTACCCACCGTAGTTTTGAGTTTTAGAGTCTGTATTTCAGTTAACATTTTGAATGCCAAAGGCATTTTAAGATGATATATTGTGTATATATTTTGTAACTTGTGAAAAAAATCTACTACAGCATGTCTTCTGAATGGCTGCTGTTAAATTATAATCAGCATTTCATCAACCTAGAAATTCCTTTTTTTTTTTTGCATTATTAGGTCATTTCAGTTTTTTTAAATTAAGCCTAAAATGTTCAACCATGTTTTTTTATTAAAAAAAGAACAATTTCACCATTAGGAAAAGCACTCTTTATAACGGTATGTCTCTACCTATTATCAATCCAAAGTCTGCTCAGTAGTACACGGCAAGATGACACCAGATTACACTGGGGAGAAGGGGAGAGTTCAAACAACTTGTTTAACTGTCTTGATCCACAGGAAACCATGCTTACCAACGTATAATAAAATAAGCTTCCAAGCTACCTGTTTGTCTTTTACTATTCTGTTTCGTATTGTATAGTTCATTCTTAGTAACGATGAAAATCCTCTAGAAGGGTGCTCGCTGGGTGGCAATGCTTCCTTTGCCAAGGGGGAATGCACGCACTTCGTGCCATGGAATACTGCGAGTGACAGTGTTTGCTTTTACGAGGCAACGTACATAGAATCATTGAGATTGGAAAAGACCTCTAAGATCATCGAGTCCAACCATCGACCCAACACCACCACCCACTAAGCCATGTCCCTAAGTGCCTCATCTACTCGTCTTTTAAATACCTCCAGGGATGGGGCCTCCCCCACTTCCCTGGGCAGCCTGTTC